AGCAAGAGCTTCTCCAGCCTCCTTTTCATCTTGGATAACTAGGTAATATCAGTCATGGCCCTTTCCATACGGTGCATACCAGATCAGAGGTAGAGGCCCCATCCAAAGGTCTTGTGGCCTAAGCCTTATAGAAATAATTCATGTTTACTTACTTGGAGAATCCCCTTGGAATATCTTCTTTGTGAACTTGAGGCAACTTTTGGTGACTACTTGAGGACCTGGGGATCTTGATCTGGAGCCATCTCTGTTATCAACTTCATTCTATGTCAGTGTCATTTTGCAGCCAGATTCTAAATAAGTTCTACAATTGTTCATTTAGAGAAATGAAATGACTTATAATGTGAGGCTTACTGTGGTTCAGCCTTTGCTTTGTTCCCTTCTCTGCTTATCTGCATCTGCCTCCTGCTTGGAAACAAAAGTCTGGTTTAATTCTATTATTCCCACATTTAATTTCTTACTTAGCAGTACTCTTCAATTAGAGATGTCCTCATTTTCATTCATTAGACATAACCACCAGACTAAATTTTCTAAAAATATAAATCTGATCATATCCTATTCCTGCTTAAATCATTTTAATGATTCCCAGTCACTTTTTATTTTTTCTACCAGATTTTCTTTAACTACAGAGTAGATCCAGGTATGCCACACAAGAAAGCCTGGCATATACAAGGATTCTTTTTCGGTTCTTTTTCAAGCCTCTATGTTATTTTTAGTTCATGCAAATTTTGCATTTGACTGAATTTGTTTAAAACAAATAAAAGCATCTTCCCTAAACTGTTGTGTAAAATTGGCACATCAGAAAAATGTTTTGTATTTTTACTGTGGCACACTGCTGTGCATTCCTGTTTTTGTATCTACATATATTTGTGTTCAGGAAGTACAAGAACCACAAGATAAAGCTCATACTCCCGAATATTGCATAAAAGGCCTTTGTATATCAGTCATGACCTAATCTTGCTGACTCCTCCCCCAGATTTCTCACTATTCCCAGACTTGGAATTTCTTATCTGGATGCTTTGGGTTTTCCTAAAATCAAAATGGATTTTTCTTTTTCTGGTTACATAATAAATAAATGATCTTTGGATAAAACTTGAAACAATACAGAAAAACCTAAGGAAGAAAGTCAGGTTTATTTAAAATCCCTCTCCCCAAAGCTAATTACCATAGATATTATGCTTATTCTCTCGCTCTCAATATATGTGTATGTATTATATACACATATGCATATACATACATGTATGTACAAATATATACACACACATAAACAAATAGATGCATATGGATATTCACACACACATCACATAATTCTACAGGCATAGGCTATAAATGTTGGTTTTGTGTAGTCACCTTTTTGTTTAGTTTTATAGTTTTTTTACCACCTCACAAGTTACCCTAACTGAATAACCAAGGTTAACAGCCAGGTCTGGCTCATAGAATCTCATCCAAACAAAGATACACATACACAGGCTTTTCTTAGGTAAATATTTAGAAAAAGTGGAATCCCTTCCTATGTACTCTGCATCTGTTTTGCTCGTTTAAAATTATACAACATTATATAAATGCATCCAAGTCAAATGGTATAGATGCAACTCACTCTTTTAAACTGTCGCTTAATTTTCTATGATAAGGATGTATCACAATGTATTCAGTTAATCTCCCATTGATGGGCACTTAGGCTATTTCCAATTTGTCCTTCTATTTTTCCTTCCTCTAATTGGATTTTCACTGAATGTGTTTATTAATTCAGAGAGGATCAATATTTTTATGATATTCTCTCACCCAATAATATAGTGTATAGTTCCATTTAGCCAGATCTTGTTTTATGTCCTTTAATAAAATTTTATTGTTTTCTTCGAGTCACATTTTTTTTTGTTTAAATAACTCCTAAAATTTTATAGTTTTTGTTGATAGAGAACATTAAAAACTTCTTTCTATTTCCATTGCTGGCTAGTTATTTCTACTATTGGGAAAAGCAATTGATTTTTTTTTGAAAAACGTTTATCATGTTTCCAGTCAATTCACCAAATTCCCTTCATGCCTTTGAACTTTAGTCCCCAGTTGTGTTGAACAATTTTAATTCCCCACACCACCCCTCTATGGCTTTGCTCTTTCTGGAAAGTCTTTCCCCTATGTTACTGACTCATTCACACCACCCATGAAGACTGACTACAGCCCTGCCTCCTCCGGGAAGCCTTCCTTGACACCCCTGAGCTTGCAAAGGTCCTTATCTGTTCTCTCGTAGTACTCTGTGCATGCTTGCATTGTTTGTTTTCATTACTCTTCATCCTAGTTGTCTGTCTTTGTGTATAGTCTCACTCAGTGGACTTGGAACTATGTGGAGTTATGAGTCAGGGCTTAAACAAATTCATATTCTTAGAAGCTAGCACCACGTCTAGAACATAGTAAATTCTCAAAAAAGAGTGTGAAATTGAACTGCTGTGATTGGAAACAGCTGTTAATGCCAGGCCAGAGAGATCTCATTTTTTAAGGGCCTCTGATTTTTTCTGCTACATTACTCTTGATGTTTATAAATAAGTTACAGATCCTGATTCTTTAAGTGTATTGCTCACAGAGTTAATTTAACAACACTGTTTTATGTGAAAATCATGATGGGGATGAAGGGCTTGGACAAGCTACAGAAATCATGATTCTTGATGATGTGACTCAAGAATTCATTCATTCAGTAAACTAATGTCTATTGATTACACTCTATAGGCCAGATACTGTGCCAAGAACTGTGAATATAGAGATTCTCAAAATACACAAGATCCCCTCAAGAAGCTTGCAAAGTCCAACCATGAGATTACACTGTTTAAACAAAATATGCAGCTTGAAGAATATAGTTTGAATTACTTCTGGCATTGGACACTGTTGACCACTCTTTCCTTATTATATTTACTCCTATTTTGGGGATTTACTCAGCTACTTTTTCTGCCAGGGCTGCTGCCAGCTCATGCTGTGCCTTTGTGAAAAATAGAACATGTCAGGGCCGGCTCAGGTGTGTAGTGGTTAAGTTCGTGTGTTCTGCTTTGGTGTCCAGGGGATGCCAGTTCAGATCCTAGGCCAGGTCATCAGGCCATGTTGAGGCAGCATCCCACATAGAAGCACCTACAGCTAGGATATACAACTGTGTACTGGGGGCTTTGGGGAGAAAAAAGAAATAAAGAGGAAGATTGGCAACAGATGTTAGCTCAGAGCCAATCTTCCTCAAAAAAATAAAAGAGTCACAACTTCTTCTGGGCAGACTAGTCAAAAAACTTCTCATTTGTCCTCTTTTTGACTGTTTTCATTGGCTGATCAGTCACATGATGACTTTACAAGAGGTCAATAATCAGAATTTTCAATTAAAGGAAGGAAGGAACTGTTGTTTCAATTCTCCCTGCTATTCCTCCCCTCCTCAAGAGTGGACTGTGGTAGGCTGAAAAATGCCACCCAAAGATTTCCAAGTCCTAATCCCTAGAACCTGTGGATATGGTATTTTGTATGGCAAAAGGGACATTACACGTGTGATTAAGTTAAGGATTTTGAGATGGGAAGACTATCCTGTATTTTCCAAGTGAGCCCAATGTAAGGATCCTTAGAAAGAGGGAGGCGGGAGGCCAGAGTGAGAGAGAATGATTTGAAGATGTTACGCTGCTGCCTTTAAAGACGGAGGAAGGAGCCATGAGCCAAGGAATGCAGGTGACCTCTAGAAACTGGAAAAGGTAGCGAAATGGATTCTCCCTGAAGCCTCCAGAGAGAGTGTGGCCCCGCCGACACCTTGATGTGGAGCCCAATGAAACCCATTTCGGACTTCTAACTTCCAGAACTGTAAGAATAAATATGTGTTGTTTTAAGCCGCTAAGTTTGTGTTGTCTTATTACAGTAGCAATAGAAAACTAATAGAAGGACCAAGTAGCTAAGCTAAGGTACTGACTCCAGTAGGCTCTTTGGGGGAGTATGATGAGACTAACCAGGATAGGGAAACTCAACTAAGGCAGTTTGAAGCTAATAAAGCCAGAAAGGGCAGGCCCCCACCTCATTTTTATATGGGTCAAGAGTCAAACTGGGAAGACCCAGTAGCAACCACAGACCAAAATTTAAGAATCACAAATAGGACGCAAATCTAAGAGTTAGGAATCAAGCAGAGACTGGATTCGGAAGGGTACAGGGTAGCTTCATGGGAAGATAGCAGAGTAGCCGAAGTTCACATTTATTAGGCTGTGGGCACCAAATCCTTAAGGAAAGTCTCGCTGACTTAATAGAACTCCTTAACGGGAACATCTCATTTATTGAGGACCTACTACCAGTTAGCCTAAGTATTTCATTTAATTTGCCCAATAACCCCATGTGTTGAGTATTATAACCCTTGCTTTACTAATTTAGAAATCAATTCAAAGAGGGTGAGTGCGGGGCCGGCCCGGTGGCGCAAGCGGTTAAGTGCGCGCGCTCTGTTGCGCTGGCCCCGGGTTCGCCAGTTCGGATCCGGGCGCGCACCGACGCACCACTTGTCAAGCCATGCTGTGGCGGCGTCCCATATGAAGTGGAGGAAGATGGGTACGGATGTTAGCCCAGGGCCAGTCTTCCTCAGCTAAAAGAGGAGGATTGGCGGCTGTTAGGGCCGATTTTCCTCAAAAGAAAAAAAACAGTAAATGACTTGTCTAAGGCCACAGAAAACACTAGGAAGCGGCAGTGGGGTTGACCTCATCTATTCAATGCCAGAAGCCCTGCTCTTTCTTCCACGTCATGCCGCCTTCTTTTCAGGAAAAAAAGGCTTGTTGACTTTTTCGTTTGTATGCACAGATCAAAGCGAAAAAACATGGTGTCATCTTTTGAGATACTCTCTCTATCAGTGAGAACTTGAAAATTAGGTTAAAAATTAAGCAGCAAAGCCAAACTCAGGCTCTCGGTTCTGAGAATGTAGCGTCAAACCTGATGCTGTCTGACTGTCACGCGGCTCATTATTTATCATTGTGAAACTCTGCGGTATTATTTGAAAGAGAAGAAGGGATGGAAACTCCTTCTTTCTTCAAGGTAGCCTTAGAGTCTAGGGGTTAAAATACTGTTTTAATGGTGAAGGTAAGTGCTTTTCTTCTTTTTGGGTCAGAAGATAATTACTAATTAATCAGAGATCCATTAAAGGGAGGGAACAGTTTGAGGGGAAGTCAGAGGAAAAACATTAACGGCAGCCTAAAGATCTCCATCTGGGAATAGTTTCTGGTTCCAAAACGAAGAAGAGACTTTCTAAAAACTGTAATCGATTCAATCAAGACCCTAGAGCAAGGCTCAAGAGGCCACCAGTGCCAATGAACACTGTGGATGATGGCCACTTCTCCAAGGATTCTGTGAGTATTAACTGTGACACCTTGATGAGTTGGAGGGGCTTCGGCTGTGGAATAAAATACTGGATCAGAACTAACAAGGTTGGAGTTTGGGGACTGTGACTAATGAGTCTTTTCAGATTTCTATATATATTTGAAATTGTCTCTCAAGAAAAGGAGAACATGAATGAAGTTGTGAATAAGATTGAAGGCAAGAAAACTTGTACACTTGTAGAATTTGTTGCCCTCGTACAGCTGAGGCAAAGTGCCCAGACAGATTATGCTTAGCCCCTTGCTATGATGGGAAGCCCTAGGGGAAAAGACTCAGTGAAGGTGCCCTCTCCAAACCTGCCCAGAGAAAATTCCGATTCCAAAGCACAGTTGGGCTCATATTGGCCTCAAAGACATAACCTGAGGTTGTTGCTTAGAGGAAAGGTACAGGGGCACTTCTGCACATCTCCTGATGAGCCAAGCTGTGAGTTCCCTAAAGGCAGTGCCCCGATTGCACCTTAATTTTGGCATAACCCTGCCTGCTAGGATTGCCCACTGTTGGTACTGAGAATACTTTTTCTTTTTCATGATTAAATTCATAAATGAATTGACAGCATGACATAAATGATCTATGAAATAACCAATTTTATTTCAGAACTACCGATCTTTCAGAAAGGTAGGCAGGGGATAAAAGTGACCTCAGTTTTACTAACAAAGGAGAAATGACTTCTTTCTATGTTCTCTGATGTTTGCAGCAAGAAGCATCCCTTCCTCATCCGTCTTGTGGATTCTAGTCCAGTAGAACCTGCTTTTAAAAGGAAAAGTTTAAAACGAATTTAACAATCAATCAAAAGCATTTTTATAGATATACATTTTGTTTGCTCTAAGCCTGTATGAATTAATCAGATAGGGCCCAAGTGCCAATCTTGTGACTGTTTATTATTATCACTATTGTTAATATCAATGACATTTTACAATGTATAATATTTTACATTGAGAAGGCATGTCTCATACCTTTGTTTTCACTCACAATAGTCCTGTGAAGTAATATTATCCCCATTTTTCCTATGAAACAATTAAAGCTCTGGAAGCTTATGAAACTTGCTCTGGTTTATTCAGATTGTGAATGGCAGAAAAGAACTTGGTCCCTGGAAACGCTTTGAAGTGCCGGTTCGTGCTCTTTCAACCTACATGTAACATTTACTCTGAGTAAACTAAAAGACTAGGCTAACAGAGGTGATGCAAGACAGGCTGAATATTAAGGGAAATCTAAGAGTAATAGAAAGACCATTATAACAAAATCAGCAGTTCTAGACTAAGAAGGATAGGAAAAAAACTATTCTTTTGCTTATGCATAAACTATATTGTCTATATTATTAATTTTATATCAAATAGAACTCTATATTGTCATAAAATTATTTTTAAAACAGAATTTTCCTTTAACTTAATTTCAATTCAGTTTTTCTATGTCTACTTTCAGCTTTGACACTAAGATTCACTATTTTTTAGAAGTGTCACTCTTGAATGGGAAGGTCCTTGAATGTTTACAACTGGGCTAAGATTCATTCCACTATCTCTAAGTATATATCAATCAAGCCAATGTGCACACTCCATAATTTGATATGCTTCTGTGATTATTTTTAAAAAATAGTTTCCATCACTACATCACAGAAAGACCCTCGTTTTGAATAGTTCGGGATGTCCACCTGATTTCTGTATTTGTCTCATGCAAAGGAAACAGGGAAATTACCAACCAAAATTAGCTATTGAGACAAAATTTGAAGTAGCATTTGAAACCATAAAAGCTAAGATAGGGATGGCAATAGATAGAACAGGAAGGGCAACGAAAGTGATAGGATTGTGATATAATCCTATTAACAAGAAAAGCAATAATAATTAGTCATTTTTATTTTTTCAATATTCAAAGCTCAACTTGAAAGTATTTTCATCGTCAAATTTCCTTCTGGAATAAATGATTAAAATTGAATTTAAAATCATATAAATTCCCATCTAGAATACTTCAAAGTGAAGCTACCCTATTGTGTTTTAATCTCATGTTTAAAATATGAACATAAAGGGGAAGGAGTGTTGACAGATAGGAAAAGCAGCAGACTGGCATTGGGAGACCTGGTGCTGGCTCAGTAAACTCGGTGACTTGAGGCAAATTTTCAAACTTTCAGCACACCAGTTTTGTCATCAATAAAATGAACAGTTGGGCCAGAAGATCTCTGAGTTTCTTTTGGCTCTAGAGGTCAGAGTTTATAAGACTTATTAGAGAGATTGGTAGGAAAGCTTTAAGTGGAATATAACTACTGGTAGCTGCATGTACAGTTAAAAACAAATTGCCTTCAGCCAAGTCTTAAGATCTTATTTAACAAGGGAAATCAAGTAGAAAATGGTCCAAACTCTGGATTGACTAGTTGTCCATTCCAGTTTGCTTCAGCTAGGATCTGAATGTAGAGCATGGAACTGAATTCCTGACACCATCCATATGTTAGCAAGACTTGAAATGCTTTCAAGGCAGAGCAAAAGCCACCATGTTTCCTGGTGCTGACCTTCTCTTGTTAGCAACTAATTTGGGTCCATTGTAATCAAAAAATAAAATTTCAAAACTTAGACAGGGAGATCTTATTCTCAGATCTTATTTTCTAGAATAGATAAGAATTCTAGAGACATTTGGCAAGCAGAAAACTATTCTGACTATGCTAATGAAGCTTATTTATTGTTCTTTCAAAGACACTTAGCTTCTGGATATAAAATGATTATCTACTAATTGTAAAAAAAAAGATTTCTTGGTAATATATGGAAAATCATAAAGAATAATGTGATCACCACGTTCTGTAACCTAGAAATAGCCGCTGCTGGCACTTGTATGAATCTCTTTCTCTCTGTGGATGTGCATGAATCAACACAGGTATAGTGCCTGCTTTGTACACTAGAGTACAAGCATTTCCTTAATGTTACTCAACATCTTTGAAAACTTTATTTTTAAAAAGTCCATCATAAGAATCTATTAAAATTGGCTCACCAAACCCTTATTGTTAGGTTAATTTGTCGCCAGTATTATGCTATAATAACTAATACTGCAAAGAATATTTTTGGACAAAATTGTTCGTCTGTATCTTTCCGTATGATCCCCCATCTTATGGTCATAGATTATAAACATCCTTAAGGGTACAGATAAATCTTATTAAATTATGTGTAGAAAGAATGCAAAGCTTTGAATGATGAAATATAAGCATGGTACATACACGGATTTGTAAAGTCATGAATGCTTCAGTTTAGAAATGGCTGCAAAATTGACAGTATTCTTAGGGTAAGGATTGTTCCTAAGAGAAATAAGTGTATGTATCCCCAAAGAGAGTTTGATTGGTGTACAAATACCACATTAAACATGTCCATTTTGGAATCATGAATTCTCCTCACCTGTTAAAATAGCTGGATTTATTCATAATTATAGTAGAAAGCCACCATTCAGTATGATTTTACAGGAAATTTTCAGTCCAATAAAGTGTCCAAATAGTGTGCAGCAAAGACAAGAATAAACATTCTAAACTTTTAAATGCAATACATGTAAGTGATATACAATGTCGTCCTTCATGTTCAAAGAAGACACCGTGGAACATTGTCCTCTTTGTACAGAGGGACAGAAACATGGTCAGAATGAAAGGAAGGGCTGCTCTGGAACTTTTCTCCTCAGCTCTTGAGCTTAATTTAACTTTCCTGTCTTCAAGCTGCCTAGAACCATGATACCCCTTACTTTTGCATGGTTCTTTGTGGTTTGCAATGTTCTCATTTCATTCTTGCAGCACCACTTAGAAAGGAGACTTATTCTTATTGAATAGATGAGGAAATGGAAGGTTAGAGAGTTTAAATGACTAGCTCTAAGACACATAGCTGAGACTTACAGCCAGATTTTCTTGTAAAAATCTAGTCCTCTGTTAGCATAGCATTCAAGTGTACTGAAAAATGTGAATCCTGTAGCTGTGTTAGATCAAAACTTTTATTAATGCTGAGAGAGGCAACATTAACACAAGAAAATTATTTGTGTGTCATGTTTTGGTTTGTCGTTCTCCCCATAGATAAAAGCCAGTCGTAAAAGAGATTCAGGGCGGAGGGAAACCCCACCACCACGTGTGGTACCATTTCCCAGAGAAGCCAAATGGACGAGAAGCCTTCTGCCAGGAAAGGTAGAGCCACCTCTCTTGTTTGCCGGCTACCTTATGGAAGAGTGGAAGCTTATTTCCAGTGTTCTTTACACATCCTTGCTCTCCTCTCCTTTTTCTATCATGCCACCCGTTGTATAGACTCAGTGTAACATTAGACCAGCTGCAGCCCCTCATCCTGTTACCTGTAGCTTTTTCCTTAGGGAGCCCCACTGAGTTATCTATCAGAAATTAAGCCAAATGATCAATAAATCCTGGGACATAAGGAATGGAATGAGTCTTAAAAAAGTCACTTTAAACAAACCCACAACCTATGTAGGAATTCCTGCTATAACATCCTTGCCAGGTAGCTGGCTATTTCCCCTGAACATGAAAACCTTCAGTAAGATGGAAATAATTCTTTTTCAAGCAACCAATCCTATCCCTGTGCCTATCTGGCCATTAAAAATGATTTCTCCATTATATTTGTATCTGTTTCTTCACAAGTTCTTTGTTTCTCTTTAGTCCCAGTTCTCCAAATAGGCAGAAAGAAATTGAATCCGTCATTCACATGGGAACTCTTTCATTAATGGCCCATTGTTCCACTTTGTGGGGTCTTTTTAAAAAAAAATGTGTTGCTCTTGTAACATATTGCATAATCCTCCAGCACCGTATCACCTACACACTCAGTAAAAATGGTTCTCCATATTAATTTTTTTAAGAGCTGAACATATGTGAAGGCAAGGCCTAGTGACACACAGCAAAAATATTTCCAAGTAAGCATTACACTAAGGAATTACTGGAAGTGCTCATTTACACACTGTCTTTCAAATATTTTAAAAGAGAATCCTTAGATGTTCGATTAGCTAAATTCAAAAGCAGCTCTCTAAATATAAACTTTCAAACTTTATGGTAAATGAATATGCAAAAAAGATGAGGCTACTGACTTGCAGGTGGGAGACTTGGGTTTTGTGACAGGCTCTGCCACCATCTTCCCCATTCACTTTGTTTTGGAACAATATGATATAAATGCCTTCATTGAGGTTTTCCTATATTTATCCTCTGCTTCCCACACCTCTGAAAAGAGGCCATATTTGCTTTCCTTGATTGTAAGATCCCAGATTTATTATCTTCAAGCCACTTAAAGAATATGACAAAGGAGAGCTGCAGTCGTGGTTATTTTGGTGAAAAAAGACGGTGGGACCGTGTGAGATTATCTGAAGTTTTTTCAGATTTAGCCGAGGGAGAAATGGAAAGAAGGCAAACTCAGTCAGGATACTCACTGCGTACTTCTGTGTTATTCTCTAGGTCCAGATTTCTGTTCATTGCGCTATGGACTGGCTTTCATCATGCACTTCTCAAACTTCACCATGATAACGCAGCGTGTGAGTCTGAGCATTGCAATCATTGCTATGGTGAATAGCACTCAGCACCATGGTCTATCCAATGCCTCCATAGAAGGACCTCTTGTAGACACCCTCAATAACCCCAGCAGATCCATTAATAAATTTAATACAGGGGTAAGTATAATGGAGAACAAAGCTTTTTGTTGAGAGGAAAAGCCCAGTTAGAAAAGAAGGCTTGGATCTTGATTCTGTGGCGTATAGAATCATGACTTTCAATGACAAACTAAAAAGAACTGAAATTTTCTTTTGAGATATCGCTTACCTCTGTGATAAAAATAATCTTTGATTGAGATTATTATGATTACAAGGTGGGGGAAATGTAGGAAAAAATTGTGAAAACTTGTCAAAAGGAACAGATTACTGAATGTCTTCAGTGAAAAACTAAGCACTGTCTAAGTGCATCTTTCTGCCTGATTCCCTGCGGGTCTCTGCACCTTTCATTGTGTGAGCCTTTTTACAACTCTGCAAGTTCTATATAACAAATAGTCATGCAAATGATTCTTGCCCAAAACTCTGCAAATGAATTTTGTCCTGTGAAAAATCAACTGATACTCTCCTCCACTCGCCCCTCAGTTGAATAAACAAGTTTTGCTATATATTTAAAATCTATTTCAGCATTACTTCCTGCTTATATGTGTGTGGTTCTTTGAATTCTCTTTTGCACCAGTTGTAACATCTTACCAATTCCCTCATTAATGAGTTAGTTAAATAAAATCTTTATCACGTGCTCATTTTATACTTTGTATGAGAATTATGATTAGACCCTATTTAAAAATTTTTCCTTTCAACTATCTATCATTTACTGTACATTTCTAATGTCATCCTTGTATTTCATGATTTTATTACCTTGGACCCAGCTCATTTAAAATGACCTCTCTGCCTCCAGTCTTTCTTCCATCATTCATTCTACACATTCACACTCCTGCACTCAAAAATCCAGGATACCTTCAGTTGCCAAACTCCTCTCTTGACATGCTATGTTCCTTCAGAACCTGGTCTCACTTCTCAGCATACTCCTATCTGCTACCAATGGCCCAGGGAGTCTTTGTTCTGAGTAAGTCAGAATGCTGGTTATTTTCTGATCATTCAATATCACTCCAAATGCTACAAGTCCACTTTTGCCGTTTTCTTCAATAAGAATGAATTTTCCTATTTCTCTTCATACAAATCATAGTCATTCTTCAAAGGATGGTTCAAGTACTACTTCCTTCCTGGGACCCTCTCAAATTGTTTTTCCCTCTTCTCAATGTCCCTATTTTACTGATGTTTATCCTCAAACTTGAATTCGGACATGAATCACATATCTTGCATTATTTATAGTTGTTTTAAGTGGATAAAATATTTCATACCTTATATTTTTTGGCTCTCTACTTCAATTTATAGCATGATGCCATATATCTAGCGGGCTACCAAAATTATTTATTGGGTTACATTATAAGAAGAATGTGATCTTATTAATGTGTAACATGTTTTAGGAAGTCAGCTCTGCCAGGCAGACCATAATTCCTAAACTTGATTTCTTTTTTCTTTTTTTTTGTGAGGAAGATTTGCCCTGAGCTAACATCCATGCCCATCTCCCTCTACTTTATATGAGATGCCACCACAGCATGGCTTGACAAGCAGCGTGTTGGTCTGTGCCCAGGATCTGAACCTGCGAAGCCCAGGCCACCGCCCACATGGAGCATGAGAACTTAACCGCTACGCCACGGGGCCAGCCCCCCTAAACTTGACTTAAGAAAGTGATTTTGATGAGAGTTCAGTGTAGTTGTGTTTTTCTTATTCTTTGAAATGAGTCAACATGTCACCCAACTTTTACCAGAAGCAAAATGGTTAAAGGAAGCTCTTTCACATGTGAAGTATCTCTCAATGGCTCTTTTCATTTACATCTTACTATCATCCATCTATGTAATCATTTCTTTATCTCTTTTCCTCTTCATTTCCTCTGTTTTTTTCTCCCTCTGAGAGGTGCAAATTAGGAGTATAATTGGTTGGTTGTTTGGAAAAGGTGGAATACAGTAGTCCCCCCAGATCAGCGGTTTTGGTTTCCCGTGGTTTCAGTTACCCACGGTCATCCCTGGTCTGAAATATTAAATGGAAAGTTCCAGAAAGAAACAGTTCATAAATTTTAAGTTGTGTGCCATCTGAGTAGTGTAATTAAGTCTCCTGCCATCCTGTTCCATCCCATCTGGGCCGTGAATCACCCCTTTGCCCAGCATATCCACACTGTATACTCTACCCACCCCTTAGTCACTTAGTAGCTGTATCAGTTATCAAGACTGTCTGGAATCACAGTGCTTGTGTTCAAGTAACCCTTATTCTATTTAATATTGGCCCCAAAGTGCAAGAGTAGTGATGCTGGCAATTAGGATATGCCAAAGAGAAGCTGCAAAGTGCTTCCTTTAAGTGAAAAGGTAAAAGTTCTCGAGTTAATAAGGAAAGAAAAAAAATCATATACTGAGGTTGCTAAGATCTACCATAAGAATGAATCTTCTGGGGCAGGACCAGTGGCGTAGTGGTTCAGTTCGTGCGTTCTGCTTCAGTGACCCGGAGTTTGAGGGCCCAGATCCTGGGCACAGACCTACACACAACTCATCAAGCCATGCTGTGGCGGCATCCCACATATAAAATGGAGGAGGATTGGCACAGATGTTAGCTCAGGGACAATCTTCCTCACCAAAAAAAAAAAAAAAAGAATTAATCTTCTATCGGTGAAATTGTGAAGAGGGAAAAAGAAATTCGTGCTAGTTTTGCTGTTGACCTCAAATATATAGGTATATGACAAAACGTAGTATATATAGGGTTCAGTACTATCCATGGTTTCAGGCATCCACGGGGGTCTTGGAATGCATCCCCCCGTGGATAAGGGGGAACTACTGCATTTAAGTTAGGTAAAAAATAAAGGAAGACTAAAATTGATATTTTGTAGTAGGGTCTCACCAATCCCAAGCAGCTCTGGCTATAAAGTAGACTTTCATAAAAGAACTTCTTAGCAAAGAATTTTCCATTTTTTTTCCCAGGCCTCTGTATATGAATGGAGCCCAGAGACTCAGGGTATCATCTTTAGCTCCATCAGCTATGGGATAATACTGACTCTGATCCCAAGTGGATATTTAGCAGGGATTTTTGGAGCAAAACAGATTCTTGGTGCTGGTTTGCTGATCTCCTCCCTTCTCACCCTCTTTACACCGTTGGCTGCTGACTTCGGAGTGATTTTGGTTATTGTGATTCGGACAGTCCAGGGCATGGCTCAGGTATCCAGATACTTTCTCATTCTGAGTGGAATACAGCTTCCTGAATTCTACTAGCAATCAAATGTCTTAATGATTTTCATTTTAGGGAATGGCATGGACAGGTCAGTTTACAATTTGGGCAAAATGGGCTCCCCCACTTGAACGAAGCAAGCTCACCAGCATTGCGGGGTCAGGTAAGCATGCAAATATGGATCACAGCTTTGTAATCTGCTTCACCCTACTGTGTCTGTCCTTCTATGCGTGGGATGGTTTGGGGAAAACAGGGAAAAGTACTTCCAAAAAATTCAACAAGGTAAAACAGTTCCATAACAAATAAGAAAGATACATCTGTGCTGGAAAGCCACTGAGGCTCAGAAGCAGAAAAGATCATGGTGAGCTAGGGTGGTCAGAAAAGCATTGTAGGAAAAAAGTTTAGAACTTTAATAATTTGCATAAATGGAAAAAGATCAAGTAAACTGTATAAACGCCATTTTAGCAAAGATATACAAGTGAAAATTAAGACTATCAGAATTCTAAGTGGTAGGGAGAGAAATCAGGCTGGAAAGTAGAGTTCAAAGAGCCCAAATTATTCTGAGCTCTTTACTATTCTGAGCTAATCCTCACAACCCTCTGGTGTAGATACTATTTTTAACCCTCATTTTACAAAGAAGGGAATTAGTGGATGCAGAGATTAAGTCAATTGCCCAAATACAAATAGCCAGCAGGTGGTAGAACTGAGATGTGAGCCCAGGCAGTTTGACCCCAGAGTCCACACTACCAAACACCATGCTGGACTGCCTCTCCATAGGGTGTGATTATACTAAGGACTTGACAACTTTATCATTGCTATTTGCCCCAACTGGTAGTCCTGAGAGTGTATCCTTGAAGAACAGAGCTGAGGTTCCATCAAGCCCCTCTCTCCCAGGTCCAATGCATGGCTGCACACTGGAGATTTTTACTTCAAAGCAGCGCTCTTGTGTTCTGGCTCCTTCAATTGCAGTTGTCACCATCTCCTCTATCTACAAATGCTGTCTCCTCCTGGTCTTCTCTCTTCTCTGGCATTATTTCCTCCAACCTTCTCTTCCCATCAAAGCCAAGTTATCTCTCTAAAGCACAGATGGGGCATTTTTGCTTACCTGCTTGGGGATCTTCAGTGTGGTCCTCCATGATTGCAGATAAAGACTGACCTCATTATGCACGGATATAAAGATGCTCTGACATATGATCCCAACCTGCTTTTCCACTCAACGTCCCTTTGTAAGAAAGGCTCAGGTCGCACCATATACAATCTGCACTTAACTTCTCTCTGACTCTATTTCTACTGGCTCATTTTCCTGGAAAGTCCTCTGTTCCCAGTTTCTTTTACCAAAATTCCATCCTTCCTACTGCTTACCTTATGTAAACAATTCATAAAGTTTATCATCAGTTTTAATTTTCGCCTGTGTATACTTTCATAGCACATTGTAGTTTTATTATCATATTTACATTCCACGCCTTTTTTTTTTTTCAAATTGCAGATTGGGACCCATTGAGGGGGTCATAAAATCAGTTTAGTGGGTCAAAACCAATATTTAAAAATGAAAGTGAATAGAATAGAATAGAAAATGTTGGAGCACATTGCACATCGTAAGGCTAAGTATTGATTCTTGAAATTTGTTTGAGGAGTGTGTGTGTGTGTGTGTGTGTGTGTGTATTTGTGTATGTATTGTGTTGCCATGTAAAATGCATTTCTTATTACAGGTCTCTGTAAAATATGTTCAGACTCCAAGGTCTACATTGTTTTACACTTGTAATAGTGAATTGTGTTCACATTTTTCTCTCCAACTGGACTGAAAGTTCCTTGAGAGCAGGGACTGTATCTTATTAATTTTTGTAAGTCTTTTCTTTTCTGTCACCAACCTTAGATTGCACCATGCCAGGATGTAACTCTAATTCTAAAGAAATACAGATGGGCTGGTGGTTGCAGACACAGTTTCTATGACAAACTAAGGGATTTGGATTTGGTCACATTGGTGTTAAGAAGCCACTGAAGTGTCCGGAGGCATATCATTATTATTAATTCTAATTGCTTCCCATGACTCTGTTGGGGGGAGATCTGTGAGCGGGAAGAAAGACTCTCGTCACCCAGTAATTCTAAGTTTGCCACCTCACTGTTGGGACAATGTCAAGGGAGGCCACTCAGTCTCAGCCTTTACTATTTTCATAAGTGCCTGTTCTCTCTCTTCTTTCCAGGGGCAGCATTTGGGTCCTTCATCATCCTCTGTGTGGGGGGACTAATCTCACAGGCCTTAGGCTGGCCTTTTATCTTCTACATCTTTGGTGAGTCACTTTCTCTTAATGCTAATGCCTCCATTTCCCAGGCATTCATTTTGATGCCTACATCACCTATCATCCACATTTTTCTCGTATAAGAGAAAATTTCTTTTGTTAAATGGAAGATGATGAAGAATGTGGAGGACTGGTAGCTTTCTTACTCTAGTCTAGGACGTGACTGTATGCATGGTGCTGACTTCTGAGAAATCAGGAGTGCGGCCTTATCCTTCTACCCAGGCATCTTCTGCAGAATCTCTACCACCACATCCGAAATGCCAGGTCTAGCTTTGCTGTTTGTGGTTAAGATATCAAAGTTGGTGAAATACACTTTAAATGTGTCTTCATATTTCATTATAATTATTATTTATGCCAAGATGCCCTTACTTATTCTCTACCAAGTGACACTTGTAAAGCTCAATTTAAATGTATCCCTCCCTATGGAGACTTCCAGGACATTTCCCATCAGATTCAGTCTGTCTGTCCTCTATGCTGCTTGCCGATATTTCTTCTCTAGGCTATGTTATGTGTGATTATTCATTTCCCCGTCTCCCTCTCCACTAGACTGTGAAATGCTTGAGGCAAGGAATCCATTCTATAATGTTTTTTATCACTTTGATACTATCATAGTTCCTGGCTTATAGCTTTATAAATAAAAGAATGGATGAATCCAGTAATTAGAGGAAATTTAAAGAACATTAATCCCCAGAGTCTTTTAATATAGAAGTTCTTCAAATGAAAAATCTCAGCAATGAGACAAGTTTCTGTTCTGTTTTTATAATCAAACGATGTCATTCATTATGGTTCTGACTTGGATGAGGCTTTCTCATTAATGATATTAATCCCAGGTCATTTTGGTTCATACATGTTAATCAAGTACTGTCAAGAAATATTTCTTCTGGAAATCCATAATGAATGTGTTGTTTGAAAACAAATAACAATGTCTTTTGCAAATGTGTTGGAAGTTTTTCCGTGCCATACTGATTTTATGGCAGGTTGTCTCATGTATATATGAGTCTTCTTCAGTCCTGACTATTCAGATCTTACAAAATAAGACAATAGTGTGTATATTAAGAAGTTGCTGCTAATGACATATAGCACTATAACCGTTGGAGTCTTAAGAGTAATTAGTCAGCTATGCAATGGTACATTCATGCTTGTGCTCTCTCTAGAGGGCTCTGACATTGACAAATGGCACTCTGTATTTGAGAAGTGGTATCTGGAGAGCTTTAGTTAAATGGAGACTTGTAGAAAAATTGAAATAAAGAACTGGGAAAATGTAGGTCCTCGTGATGGAATAACCATGAATTGATGTGTGTTTTGGGAGAGAGGTGTGCCACTTCAGAGGAAACTCACTTCCCCCAGCACACAAATCTACCTGAAAACTAATAGAGTCCCGGCTTCCCAGGTAGCATTGGCTGTGTCTGCTGTCTCCTGTGGTTCACGGTGATTTATGATGACCCCATGCATCACCCATGCATAAGTGCCCGGGAAAAGGAATACATTGTGTCCTCGCTGGCTCAACAGGTACAGTGCATCCCTTCTACCTGCAGACCATGCAGAGATCTCCAGGGCAGGGTGTGGGGCTCCCAGAAAAGGCACTCTCTGGCCTATTCTAACATCCACGTTGATTAGATATTTCCTTTCAGTCCAGTTCTCCTAGACGATCTGTCCCCATAAAGGCTATGGTCAGATGCCTACCACTTTGGGCCATTTTCACGGGGTTTTTCAGCCATTTCTGGTTATGCACCATAATCATAACATACCTACCGACGTACATCAGTTCTGTGCTCCATGTTAACATCAGAGATGTGAGTATACTTCTGATACTTCTATGAAAATGGTAATGGCAATAAGGAGAATTAGTTCTATGCTGCCTACTACATTATGCACATAACCACTCATTTAACCCTCACAATGACCTTGAGAGAGGCACTGTAATGTTTCCCATTGCACAGGTGTGGAAATAGGGATATATAGAGGTGAGATGACTTGCCCTGGATTACACAACTACTAAGTGATAGAGCTGCTGCAGCATCTGTGTTCTTAACCACTATGCTACACTGCCACACTAGCTGATTCTTCAATTTCCCTGAGGAATTAATATTGCTTTTCTCTGGAGACTAGTGTAATTCAAGTGTTGGCCCTTTTGCCTGAGACAGTGTTCTTCTTGTGTGGAAAAGGATGCTAATTTCCTTAAAACAACTCAGAATGTCAGGAGGGTGGGCTAATGATTGGTCTGTGTAACTGATGAACTTTGGTGCTATATGCACCTCTGTACTCACTGTATACATTTCCTTCCTTCAGAGTGGGGTTCTGTCCTCCCTGCCTTTTATTGCTGCCTCAAGTTGTACGATTCTAGGAGGTCAGTTGGCAGATTTCCTTCTGTCTAGGAATCTTCTCAGATTAATCAACGTACGAAAACTCTTTTCATCCCTAGGTAAGGATAGGCGTATGGGCTCAGTTAACCAATCCCTTTTTCCACGCATGGTCTGAGAGGGTTCCTGACGGCGTCTCCTCATTGCCCAGGGCTCCTCCTTCCTTCGCTATGTGCTGTGGCCCTGCCCTTTGTGACTTCCAGTTACATCACAACTGTTATTTTGCTCATACTTATTCCTGGGACCAGCAACCTGTGTGACTCAGGGTTCATCATCAACACCTTAGATGTTGCCCCCAGGTAAGACCTTTACCTGTTTGTTCTCCTCCTCTAGACCCTTCCAGAGGTGTTAGGCCTCAGTCTTCTTCTTACAATTCCTTCATGTTGTTGACATGCACTAAATGATGGCAGAATAGTGACAAATAACTAGAAACGTCGGTTTATGGCCATGACCTAAGGCATTTTTAGAACAACAGTTCCCAATCTTGGCTAGTAATCACTTAGATGAAAAGCTTCCCAAGACTCCCCACCAGAGACTGGACTGTGTGTTCCAGAAAAGGGCCCACATATATGTGTTTTAGAAAAGCTTCCAAAGTGTTGATAATATTAGCTACTACATATGTATGCGCTTGCCATGAGCCACACCCTATTCAAAGGATTTCTCGTGTATCTACGCATCTAATCCTCAGAACTACATGAGGCCGGCCCTACTGTTATCCTTACTTGATAGGGGAGAAGACAGAGGCACAAGAAGTTTAACTGGCATGCCTAAGGTCACAAAAAGGCAGAGCAAGGATTTGGACCCAGGCAGTTTTCCAGAGTCTGTTGTTCTGTCCACTGCACAAACTGCCTGTCATGCTGAGCAGCCAGGGTGGGAACCTGGGCTCCCAGGAGACTGAGTTGTTCCCTGGTTGTTGACTGGGCAGCTGGGTGTTTTCAGGGTTGGCAAACAAACATTGCCCTAAAAGTCTTTAGGTGAACGAAAAACTTCATTGAGCAAAATGACTTTGCCATTAGAGCTGAACAGCATTAAAGTTGAGTTGCTGAAAAGCCATAGGGAGCTTTCTATATAAAATAATCTATAAAATCATCTCCCCACAGATATGCAAGTTTCCTCATGGGAATCTCAAGGGGATTCGGGCTCATCGCAGGAATTATCTCCTCCACTACCACTGGATTCCTTATCAGTCAGGTTGGGCCAGTTTATTGAACATCTGCAAGTAGCAGGTATTGTTTTAGGCACTGGCTATACATAGTAGGGCCTCTGCTCTCAAGGACTGTATAGTCTTATGGGGAAAACAAGCATGAATATCAACACAATTACTCTACTCATAAGGGACTCTAAATCAGAGTCTGGTAGGTCAGGTTTCCCAGGGAAAGAAAAATATAAGCTGAATTTCTAAATGTGAATATATGTTAGATAGATGAAAATGAGCAGTTCAGGCAGAGAGAAAACAGAATGTATGACTTTCTAGAGGTATAAAAGCATCAAAGGAGTTCCTAGTTATGACCAGAGTGAATGGTACATGTCAAGGAATGGTAAGAGATAAAGACAGAGGAGCAGAAGGGGAAGATTATGAACAGTCTGTTCAGAGTAATTCTAATTTTTAAAAAAAATCACAAAATGGAAACACAAAGTGTCTCAAGGCCACTTTAAAGAGAGATTAAATCACAGGTGAAAAGAGCATGTCTGTGAGACAGAGCAGGGAGCATGGGCCATGAGGCTTGTTTAGTGTGAAGTGTGGGCTGATAGAGAAGATGAAAAGGCAGAACCAGGCTGGAATGGAAGGACAACAAGAGTCAACTTACAAAAAAAAAAGTTTTGTTTTAATACATCTCTATGTGATCTAGTTTCCAGGTTAATTTTTGACCAAATTGCTAAGAATGCATTATGACTATAAAGCCAGAAATGGACTATGACTTATAAGGGCTTGGGGAGGAGGATCATACAGGCAAAACAAATATAACTCGCATTGTGTTGAGATGTCCATCTCAGTGGTTGTAATTGACAGCAACAGGCAGAATCAAAACAAAACAGAGAGTACACAAGAATGAGATGTTAAAGATGTCACTTTAGGCATAATTTTAAATGAGTAATATTTTCGTGAACGTCAAGATCCAAATTTCCAAAAAAACATTAGTGTAAGTTAATTTATTTTGGTTTAGACAAATCCATCCGAACCCAGAACCCAATGTTCGAGTTATTTTGTTTCCAACAGTTTCATAAAACCTTCCTTGATAACTTACGATAAGGAGCTATTACATATTGATCCCCATATTCTTTGTGATCAATGTTGCAATACACAAAATGGAGGATTTCTAGAACTGGTGGAGAAGTAACTTGTGAGACTGATAATTCTGTTTTTTTGCCTCCAGGATTCTGTGTCTGGTTGGAGGAATGTCTTTTTCCTGTCTGCTGCTGTCAACATGTTCGGCCTGGTTTTTTACCTCAAGTTTGGACAAGCAGAAATCCAGGACTGGGCCAAAGAGAGGACTGTCACCCGTCTCTGAGGATACAGAGTTGCAAACTTAAATGTAGTACTGACCATAAACTTTTCAACATTGTTTATTTATCGTCGTTCTTTTTTCATATTCTTCACCATGGACTCAGCAGTTCTCAACTCTGTTGTGTGTTAGATTTCCCTGGGGAATCTCTAAAATATGATGTTGAATGGGCCCTACTCCAGAGGTTCTACATGAATTGGTCTAGAGTAGATCCTAGAAACCACTAATTTTTAGACACTCCCCAGAGTTTCTAATATGCAACCAGGGTTGACAACTGCTGCACAAACTTGAAACGTCAATTTCTGTTGCCTTTGAACTTTCCTCTTTGGAAAGTACTGGACAAATAAAAATCTATGCGAAAATAATCAGTGATAAGTACCTTCATGGGGGTGATTATGGACACAGAGAAGATCTGCTGGGAACTGTAGCTATATGTTATAGAGCTCAGCAGAGAATAGAATTTTAAAGCTGTAATTACAGAATTAATATTTTTATTGTTTTTATATATTGTTAAACATGGATATTTATTTATGTGGTTAAATTCTATTAAAATTCACATACTAAAAATTAAACAGATCGTTTTCAAATTATTTAAATTAGGATTATTTCCATCAGGCATAACAGAGATTTACTTATCCTAGCTAAATTCCGGGAGATTAATGACCAGGAGAAGATTAAATGAATGAGGTTAACTAGAAATCAGGGAAGAGAGAAGACAGAATTGGAAAGCTTGCACTGTGAGGAGCATGGATGTGAGGGGAGGCGATGTGGGCACTTCCAGAAGGGACGATGAGATGGTTTGGACCGTATAATGAAAATAGGAGGGAGACAATAGAGGCACTTTCAAATGAACTGGTGATTTATATGGGGGAGAAGAATACTGAAGGTACAACAAGATGGAAGAAAGCACATACTAAAGAAGTTTCTTTTCAGGGTTGAAAAAGATCATTTGACCTTCTTCATATTTTCCCGAGATTCTCAAATAGTCATGATCAACCCCAACAGGAATTAATTCTAGCTTCTAACACTTAAAACACACACAGAGCTGATTCCGGTTTTGCCAACAACTGTTCTAGAGGAGAAATTCCCACCATATTTAGAAGCCCAGGGACTTCTAATATGGGACTAAAAGTCGCATATTAGAACCTTAGGATTCTAACAGGGACTAGAACCTTGGCCTAATTTAGCAGATGAAGAGAATCTCCTAATGCAAATCAACAGATATTTTTAAGCAGGTATTTTAAGGAAAACAGATTGTCAGGCCTTGTTGCTAAGATGAGAACACTCTGGCTCTGCCTTCTGGGTATTTATAATGTAGAGAGAAAGGAGAGTTTGTAGAAAACAAAAAGAAGAAAAAAAAGAGAGGGACAGTATAATAAATGGGCAAATTAAATACAGGAAAAAAAAAGGCAGACAATCCAATAGAAAAATGGGCAAATGACTTCAACAGAGACATCATAAAAGAGAAATTCTAAGTGGTCTATACACATATAAAGAGGTGCTGAACTTCATTAAATACTAGAGAAGTGAAAATCAAAACCGCAGTGAAATGCTACCACATGCAATGGATAAAATGAAAGAAGACAGAAAACAGCAAACATTGGCAAAGGGTGTGGAGCAGCTGGAACTCTCACACACTATAAGTGCGAGTATAAATTAGAACTTTGGAAAGTTGCTCAGCAATACCTCCTAAAGCTAAATTTAGACATTGCAATTAATTAGACATTTCACTCAGAAATGCACACGTACGTTCACAAAAAGATGTACAACAATGTTCATAGGAGCACTATTTATAATAGCCCAAAAGGAAACAACTAAATCGTCAAGAAAACAATGAGTAAATTAGCTGTGGTCTATTCACACATCAATGAGCATGAACAGACCACAATACACAGCATCATGGATAGATCTCATAATCGCAACATTAAGTAAAGAAGACAAGGAAAGCCTTCTTTTAAGAGTTTAAATAGAGTTTTTAACAATAGAAAAAAATAATCTATCCTATTAAAAATCAAGTTAGGGATTCCTCTTGGGTAGAGATGGAAATAGTAACTGGATGGGGGTGCTTAAAAGAGGGTCCTGGGGTGCTGATAATATCCTATTACTTGACTCGGGTGCTAATCACATGGGTGTTTTTACTTTATGAAAAGGATACATTTATGATTTGTACACTTTTATGTATGTAAAAAAGTAAAACATGTACTTAAAGTAAATTCAATGTTTCATCCATTTCAAAGCTTCTCTTCTCTTTTTGGCTTAGGTCTGACAAATGGAGCAGTTGGGAATGTGCTTTGGTCTCTACTTTCATGATCTTCCTGGTCCTCTTCCTCCTCCTCCTTTGCTGGACCCTCTAGCAACAGAGCAGGAGAGAAAGCAGCAGGATAATCTATATTGTCAGCTTTTGGATCAAAGTCTAAATTCCCAAACAGCAAAATGAATGAGTTGGGCTTCCCAAGAAACCATGTCCCTGGAAGCATCGGTCGCCATTGGAGGTAAGAACAACAATGGCCCAGCATATCCAGGCTTTCTGAGCAGCTGCTATGATTGATTCCTGACAGATAACATCAATGTGTCAGAGACTCTTAAGTTATCTTTCCCTATTTGGTGGTTGGCAGAAGAGTTACCGTTCATGTTTCTTAATAGCTTCAGAATAGATAAAATTGTGAGCTGATAGGAAGTATCCTAACCCATCTTCCCCATCCCTAAAGAGTTGTTTCTCACATAAACAATTCTTTTCTAACGTTCATTTCTAATATTAACAGACATGAATTCATTCACGTTTCTCAAATAGATTATTCACATCTATCTAACAATGAGATGATCTACTTTCTTCTGTTAAATATTATGAATTATATTAATACATTTCTTAATGTTGAGCAAACTGTTCCTTGAGTATTCTTTTAATATTTCACAGGATTTGATTCACTAATAGTTTATTTAGGACTTTGGCTGCCGTATTAATGTATGACATTGGTTCTGTATGCATATGTGTCATATCTGGATATGAGGGTTATGCTGATTTCAAACAAGAAGAGGGAAACTTTTCTTATTCTCCAATACTCTGAAAAAAAATTAACTAGAATGGAAATTTTATCATTGCTATTATACTCTGAAGGCTTGAAAGCATTGGGTTGTAAAACTGTGTAAGCTTAAAGCCATTTTGAGGAGAGTTCTTTGATAACTTTCTCAATTTCTTTGATGATTATGGGCCTGTTACGGCATTCTATATTTTCTTCCATCAATTTTGACAATTTGTATTATCTTGAAGGATCATCCATTTTATACACAATTTAAAATATATTTGCAAAATATTCAAATGTTCTGTCATATTATCTTTTTATAATGTATTCATTTTTTTCTGGATCTGAGGTTTGAGCTTCTTTTGTACTTCTGATATGATGCATGTGGGCTTTCTTGCTCCTTCTTCATTAGACCACTTAGTGATTTATTTATTTTCAAGATAGCTTGTCTTTGTGTTTTATAATCTATTAGCTTTATCTTTTATCAGTCTTACCTCCTATTTCCCTCTGTTTTACTTCTTATAAATTTTGTTTTGAATACTTAATTCATTTATTTTTATTTAATTCTGAAAGAGATTAAGGCTTAGAGGAGGACTTTTAGTCCGTTTTCCTGGGAAATTACATTTTGCTGTGTTGCACCCCCAAATTCATTGTCTTCTTAATGCTTTATTTCTCAAGTTAATAACCTATAGAGTAAAAAAACACTGTTAACTCCTACCTTATATACAGTAAGGAAACTGACACACTGAGACATACTAACATCTCACCCAAGTACAGTCCCCTTGGTTTCATTGCTGTTGTCTGAAATTTTGCTCTAATGTATTGCAGTTAATATATTTGTGTTGCATTAAGTACTTTTCCATACAAGAATTGCATTCTGTTGAGTATCATATTTGTCGCTATTATTTGGATGCATTTCGAGGACGGCTAGGGCGAGGCAAGCCAGGTGCTCAGGGAGCAATACTTAAGGAAACACTCTTTCTCAGGTTCATGCAAGCACAGAATTGGCACATGAGAGTGAGTTCCTCCTTAATTTTGTGCCCTGGACTCTTCTCACTTACTTAAGCCTAGCCCTGGCTACTGACATTTTTTTCATGACCGCCCCTCCCCCTTCTTCTTCTCAAAATATTTCAATGGAGATTATTTTGGAATAGTATTTGGATAATCCTCTGAGTCCCAGAATAGCGGAGAATTTCTGTCTTAAGTGCTGTACTGTTATTATGGAGCCTTAATACGTTAAAATATTAACATAGCCAGGAAAAGAATTTTTGTTTTACAAAAATTTCAAAACAGTATTGACTTCCTACTAGTCTCTTCTGGTGTCTAATATGATAGGGAAGTCTGGTTAGCCAGCTAATTTTTGTAGGAGAGATATATTTAGGCTAGGTGCTATAGGATTTTGTCTTTACCCTGGAATTCCGTACTTTCACCAAGATGTTCCAAGGTATTAAGCACTTTCAACTGATATTTCCTTGAACATCATGAGTAATTTGCTTTTCAGCTAGTGGTTTTAGAGTTTCCTTCAATTTTGTTTTAATTCGTGATTCTTCTCTATTTGTTGAGAATCCCTTATCTATATATCTGTAAGCTAAAACTTTATTGTCTATCTTTTCGTTTCTGCTGAATTTCGTCCTTGGACCTTTTACTTTGCTTTCTCCGTGGACTTCTCAGTGCTGGATGTGCATGAAGACATTTTCCAAGGTCTTCTCCAACTTCTGTAAGTTCTAAATTATTTCCTAAAATTGCCTGAAAATATTCCTATGTCCATCCTAGCCCTCTCCCCTTTTTTAAAAAGAAAGGCAGCCACACCTTATTGTGGTGCAATGCATGGAGTGTAAACACTTCTTGGTTTTCAACAAAGAGATAATTCCAAATATTGGTTTGGGGATAACCTGTTAATCATTAACACATTCATCTGGCTCTTGGTTTTCCTGTCTTACCTTGTCTGCCGTGTGTTTATATTATAGGAGAAGATTGGCCAAAGTTAGAATGTTCTGAATTCAGAACTGAAACATAACAGGTTAGAGAATCGGTTCTTTCAAATTAAGCTGGAATATTTTCCCAGAGCACCGAGTTTCAAGATATATTGGATAAAATCCTCAGATTAAAAAGATATGTGAGGGCTGGCCCAGTGGCATAGTGGTTAAGTTCATGTGCTCCACTCCAGTGGCCCAGGGTTCACGGGTTCAGACTCCAGGCGCAGACCTACACACCACTCATCAAGCCATGCTGTGGCGGCATCCCACATACAAAATAGAGGAAGATTGGAACAGATGGATGTTACCTCAGGGCCAATCTTCTCTACCAAAAAAAAAAATATATGTGATTACTTCTAGATTTGGTATGAATTATACAATAACATGGTTAACACTTTTATTAAAATCAGATCATGTCATGAAATATTTACTCTAATTATAGTCATTCTTCATCTTATTTCATCTTATAAAATGTTTAATGTTTTCTGTTATTTACAAAACAACCCCTTTATACTTTTGATGAAAAGTTTTAGATGTCAAGTTAAAAATACTCTGGGGCCTGC